GCTAAAAAAAGAAAGGTAGATGCTGAATGCAGGGTTTTCAACAAAAATTGGACTGCTAAGTATTTATTTACTGAAGTCGGAGGTAAAACCGTGTGTTTAGTTTGCGGGGAGCAGATCGCCGTGTTTAAGGAGTACAATGTGAGTCGACATTACGAGACGAAACACGCGGAGAAATATAAAAACTTGACTGACGCTGAAAGGGCGCGGACATCGGAAGCTTTGCTAGCTAAGCTGCAAAAGCAGCAAGGCTTTTTTACCAAGCTTCACACATCCAGTGATGCAGCAACCATGACCAGCTTTGTGATATCCCACAAAATTGCTAAAAACAGTAAGCCGTTCTCGGAGGGGGAGTTTGTCAAAGAGTGCTTGGTGGACTCTGCAGCACTAATATGCCCTGAAAAAAAAGCCGCATTTGAGCAAGTCCCGCTGTCCAGGCGAACCGTGACTAGAAGGATCGAGGACATTGCGGGGAATCTGGAGCTTCAGCTGCAACGTGAAGTGGCAAGTTACGACTTTTTCTCCTTGGCTTTGGACGAGAGCTGTGATGTCCGCGACACAGCCCAGTTACTCGTATTCGTCCGCGGGATAACACCGGACTTCAAGATTACGGAGGAGCTGGCAGCAATGCGGTCGATGAAAGGGACGACGACAGGGAGCGATCTGTTCACGGAGGTAAACGAGTGCATGGACACGCTGGGACTGAAATGGGACAGACTGGCAGGTGTCACAACGGACGGTTGTCCAAATCTTACCGGAAATAATGTCGGACTTTTGAAACGTATGCAAGATAAAGTGACTGAAATTGACGCGGATCAGAAACTGGTCTTTTTGCATTGTATTATACACCAACATGTGTTGTGCAAGTCAGTGCTAAAACTTAACCATGTTATTGATGTTGTTACTAAAATAGTAAACTTCATCAGGGCAAGAGCTTTGAACCACAGACAGTTTATCGCACTTTTGGAGGAGCATGAGACTGAGCATTGTGACATCGGCTACCACACAGCTATCAGATGGCTCAGCCTGGGCAAAGTGCTAAAAAGAGTTTGGGACCTGAAAGCAGAGATTCGAGAGTTTTGTGAGAAGAAAGGCAAAGACTTCCCAGAGCTCTCAGATGAGGACTGGATGGCAGATTTTGCATTTGCTGTTGATGTGACTGCACTGATGAATGAACTGAATACCAAACTGCAAGGCAAGGGCCTTTTTGTTCATGAAATGCACAGCCTGGTGAAGGCTTTCATGACAAAGATGCAGTTTCTTTCAAGCCAACTGGAGAGCAACAATCTCACTCACATGCAAACCCTGAAAGAAGTCACACCATCAGCTGATCACCTCCGCAGGTACTCATCCATGTTGGGAGCATTGCATGGTGAGTTTTCGAGGCGATTTGAAGATCTCAGAAAAATCGAGGATGAAATGCACCTGATTTCCTCTCCCTTTACCTGCAGTGTGGATAATGCACCCAGTGATGTTCAGCTGGAACTCATCGACCTGCAGTCTGATGCAGTACTGGCAGAGCACTTTAAGTCAGGATCTCTGCTGGATTTCTACTCTTCTCTCAAGGAGGAGAACTTTCCAAACATGAGGAGACATGCTCAGAAGATGTTGGTTCTCTTTGGCTCGACCTACATATGTGAACAAACATTTTCAATTATGAAGTTTACGAAATCCAGGTATAGATCCTCTCTCACTGATGATCATCTGTCAGCTGTGCTTCGCATCTCCACCTCAGACATTCAACCTGACTTTGATGCACTCGTTAAAGCCCAGCAGAGACTAGATTTCTCTCACTGAACAAGAAAAGAGAACTTAAAAACACCAAATGAGGTGGTTAGACTACAAATGTTGGCATGTAAAGGCACCAACTAGCAGTGAACTGGGACACTTTCTTTGGAAGCCTTTTTCTCAAAATCACAGTTCAGTGATGTTTAGTGACAGTTCAATATGATGTATCTTCCTTAATATTTGGAGTACAAAGACAATATTGTGATGTCTTTAGAATGCTAAGAACCTCTTTCCAACAGTAAATCAAACTCAAAATGTGTTTGAGTGAATGTGACTGAAAATGTTCACTAATATGAGTCACAAATGGTGAAAAACGTTCATTTTGTTTACCATTGTTTTGGGAAATTTGATTTAATAAATGACATTTTTTTGTAAGGCAACCTCACTTTTTCATTGCTTAACTATAACATATACTCTTACCAGCTTGTCAAAACAATGTTATTTACTGCTTTTTATAAAGAAATACAATTAATATTATGCAGAATTGAGTTCAGCCTTTTGGCCCGGCCCTCCACAATATTTTCAGTTTCTCATGTGGCCCCATGGAAAAAATAATTGCCCACCCCTGCACTAGAGGCTTCTGGAAACTGAACACACAGTGCCTAAAAAATACTTGTGTTTCAACAGAATTAAAACTGGAAATACAAAAAATTATACAATTGAGATGCTTAACAAACTCTGACATCAAATTATGGGAAACATTAAAAAGTAGGTTAAAATGTTTTTTCAAATTTAAATGTAGGGAACTCAATAAAGCAAAAAATATTAAATATGAATCATTAATCAAACAATACATTCATTTAAAGCAGATGAAAGTTAAAAAAAAAAGCAAAGGTGCAGGAAAGGTTAGGGCGAAGGCCAAGACTCGCTCATCCCGTGCCGGGCTCCAGTTCCCCGTCGGCCGTGTCCATAGGCATCTGAGGAAGGGTAACTACGCCCATCGTGTCGGTGCAGGAGCCCCGGTGTACCTGGCCGCTGTGCTGGAGTACCTGACCGCTGAGATCCTGGAGCTGGCTGGAAACGCCGCCCGGGACAACAAGAAGAGCCGTATCATCCCCCGCCACCTGCAGCTCGCCGTCCGCAACGACGAGGAGCTCAACAAGCTGCTGGGAGGAGTGACCATTGCTCAGGGAGGTGTGCTGCCCAACATCCAGGCTGTGCTGCTGCCCAAGAAGACCGAGAAGGCTGCCAAGAAGTGAACACCCTGATCCCGCTTCAACAAACACCCCAAAGGCTCTTTTAAGAGCCACCCACTTCCAACTAAAGAACATTCCCCTCTTCACTACAGAAATGCTTAATGGCACAGAACAGTGATCTCCCCCCTTGCCCTATGTATTGAGTTGTACAACATATACAACATGTCATATATTACATATACCAAGTCACTCAACTAAAAACACCCACATTATAGAGCAATATACACTTGAAACATAACCCTAAATTACTAATAATGATATAATTTGTATTTGTTGGGTTGTAGCCTCTAAAGTAAAGCTTTATTTAAACTAAAGCAAACTCCTTTTCACACTTTCCTTCGTACATCCAGCAGGTTAATCATCACATTCTCAAATGAATAGCGGTGTGGTTTCTACATCTGTCTGTCCACATGCATAAAGCCACAACGTTTGTTGGACCCATCATTAATGTTTAATGTAGTTTACACTACACTATATCAGTATTACTTATTGGCAGGTATCTGCAGTTCACCGATCAATAGCGTACCGTAACATTTAAGCACTCAATTGTATCTTTTGCCCACACGCACATTGAAATGAATACAACTGGTTATATTTCGTTCCAGCCTTTATCCACCAGATGTCAGTGTTCACCAACAAATGTTTGGAGCAGAACGAAAATAGTGGCTCTATTGTAGTGGATTAAATATTAACACATTTGTCTTTCTAACAGTTCTTTATTTATTTTGTATTAGCATTTTAAGAAATTAGGTACATCTAGGTACATATATTAATGAAGTTATTATCTCTTAGCCAATTAGCAGTTATTTAATGTGACCATTGTATATTATACCGTTAGGAGTTAGTTTAGTAGTTCTAAAACATACATGGCACAAACTATTATACAGCACTATTTCAAGATTAGATAAGCATGTAAATAGTAACATCTTGAAGAACATTGTTTAAACTAAACTGTATGTTATAGAGAGCCCACAGTTAGATGCAAGTGTCTTATCATGAAATGACACACTGCAAGTGCAGCAGTGTCCACTCAGCAATAGATGTATACAACATTATCGACTATGATGTTCAAACACGAATACTACAGTGTGTACACTTCAGGACTTGTTCATATATACATATATCTCAGGACTAATAATTATAAACAAGTTTACTATTACAGCTATTTGTTACAGTGTAGGATTAACATATATTGATAACTCGATACTGAGCATGCGCACGCACCGAGTTTAGGTTATCGATGTACTCTCACCAGGGACTAAGTACTACCATACCAAAATAATACTGTACAGTGGTGCAATAGTATCACACTACACTCAAAACAAACATCTATAACGAAATGACTAACATACAGGAATAAATCAGCCAATAACGTAATATTACAAACGGCACCACTCAGATTCCAAATTGTTGTGTACAATAAGAGTCACTCTTAAAATATTGTAAAATGAGTAGCCTCTTTAAAGTGGACCTATCATGCTATATTTGAATAATATATTGTAGGGCCATACCCATATAAAACATGTCTGTGAAGTTTTTTTTTCAAAATACCAAACAGATCATGCATTTTAGCCATGCCTCATTTCGCTCTATTTGCTCTTTTCCAGCCCTGTTTTTGCAAGGGCTGATTCTGTGAGAAGTCTTCTTCGCTGCTTTTGTGGCACACTACAGCACCACTTACAGGCCTGGCATATGTACTACAGCGTCTCCAGCGCTTTCACGGCAATGGCCGTGGCCGTGGTCCAACCCCCCATTCCCCTGATAGGTGGAGAGTTGCCCATATAGGCGGAGCTATCTGTTTCTGACGTCAGAACAATTTCAAATCTGTATCAACTCCGTTGCAGCCCCGTTTTTAGAGATTTGGGTATGGAGGAAAAGAGAGGGTTGTGTTTTCTGACACACCGGGGACACATATTCATGTATAAAAGACGTACAAAAGTGCATTTTGCATGAGAGGTCCCCTTTAAGTAAAGTGGGTGGCTCTTAAAAGAGCCTTTGTGTGATTCAGTCAGTATGAGTTTATCCTCCGAAGCCGTACAGGGTGCGGCCCTGCCTCTTCAGAGCGTACACCACATCCATGGCGGTCACAGTCTTCCTCTTGGCGTGCTCGGTGTAGGTGACGGCATCACGGATCACGTTCTCCAGGAACACCTTCAGCACACCTCGGGTCTCTTCGTAGATCAGACCGGAGATACGCTTCACTCCGCGAGCCAAACGACGGATGGCGGGCTTTGTGATGCCCTGGATGTTATTACGGAGCACTTTACGGTGGCGCTTAGCGCCTCCTTTGCCTAGTCCCTTTTTTTTTTTTAGAAAACTTTATTTTAAATTATTTGGGCAGTACATGATATACAAAAGTTACATTAATAATACACATAACACAAAATGCATACATATATAAATAACATAAAGAGAGCACGTTTATATTCCAATGAGACTCAGTTCGGTCACAGACTCAAAATGCCCCATGGCAGAGTCTGGGATTTGTCCAGAGTTTTTCTTCTCCTTAGTTCAGTAAGTATTTGTTTCACGATGGTGCCACTGTTTATTATCGTCTGATTTAGTATCATCTTGCACCTTGTTTTCCAGATTTTCATACATGTGATACAAATTACCAGCTGAAAAAGTTCCCTGTGTTTTATGTCCATCCCCTCATCCAGAATACAATACATAATTGAGGCATATTCTACATTGAACTCCAAACCGATGCCCCGTAGGAGCGACCACACCTCCTCGGCTCTGTAGCAGTCCATGAGGAGGTGCTGTAAAGTTTCGTCTTCCTCACAGTTAATCATGGGGCATGTTCTAGTTTTCACATAGCAGCTCCATGAGACCACAACTCTGACGGCAAGTCTGTTAACCGATATCAGCCACCTCACGTCTCTCATGCTCTCCGATAATTGTTTCCTTTTAACTAATTTCAAGACTTCGTTACCTTCGTCAGGTGTTTTTGTATGTTATATAACCTCCATATTTGAAATAATTTACCATTTTAAAAATGACTCTATTCGGTAATCCGATCCAATTAATCTCTAAATGCTGAAGTTCAGTTATGAAGTCACCATAAACTAGTTTGTAATATGGTCCATTTCTAGCTCTGCCTCTTCTTTTGTTCCATCCCATTTTTCCATCCTCAACCCAAGGTGCTTTCCTATTTATTGCAGCCGAGATGTTTTTTACAAAGGTCATTTTTAGTTTAATGCCCAGGTCTATGGCTCCCAGGACTCCATATTCCCTACTTTTAAATAACAAATTACATTTAGTAACCTCCCTTGTTGTACCCCACAGCAAATTGACACACTGTTTGTTTAATTGCATAATTATTTGGGTAGGTGGGGGGAAAATGTTTGCTAGAAAAGGGATCTTGCTAAGTATGAATGATTTTATTATGTTTATTCTTGATTTATAATTTGTATTTTTATTCTCCCATTGTTTAACTTGTTCTTTGACTTCTCTTAGTTTGTTCTCCCAATTGAGTTCAGCACAGTTGTCGCTACAAATAGTTATTCCAAGTATTTTAATTTCTTTTTTCACTTGAATGTTGATGTCGCGTTTGGCATCGTCGGTGCCGATCCAAACACCTTCAGTTTTGTTGTGGTTTAATTTAGCTCCTGATGCCAATTCATATAAGTTTAGGTGGTTTGTTAGAACATCCATTTCTTGTTGGTTTTTTATAATAACAGTGACATCGTCTGCATAGGCGATGGCAGTTATTTTGGGCGCATGGCCAACTGGTGTTCCTGATATTAACCTGTCATTGTTTATTATTTTAATTAATGGACTTATGGCTAGCACGTATAGAACTGCGCGTAGAGGGCACCCCTGCTTAACCGTCTTTCAACATTAAATGCATTTGTTAACACACTGTTTACATTTACACAGACACAAGATTTAAAATACAGACACTTAATCATGTTTATGAAGGCTTCAGGAAATCCGTAGGCCTTCAACACCGACCATAAGTAATCTCTGGATAAATAGTCGAAGGCTTTTTTTTGATCAAGTCCAATAATAAAAAAACCTTTTTCTTCTTTTAGTTTATTTATGATTTCTCTTAAAATTGATAAGTTGTCCCACATAAGGCGACCTTTTATAGCACATGTTTGCTCTTTATCTATTATTTTATCTAGTATATCTGTTCATCTATTCATTATTATTTTTGCTAGTATCTTATAATCAGTATTCATTATAGTTAAATGTCTGTAATTATCTATATCAGTTTCATCGTTTTTTTTATATAGTAGAGTCAAGACACCTTCATAAAATGAGTCCCCCATACAACCACTGCTGAGACCTTCATTAAACATAGAGGTTAGTAAGTTTAAAACATCATCAGATAATAGTTGATAAAACTCAGTGGGCAGGCCATCAGGACCGGGGCTCTTACCAACATTCAGCTCTTTTACCGCCTGGATCACCTCGTCTTTTCTAATTTCACCGAGAAGGAAATCAAAGTCTTGGATGTTGTACGGAGGGATAGTTCCCAAAAGAGTTTTAACACAGTCCGTTTCAATGTCTATTTTTTTATATGCTTCAGAACATAAATCTCTTATCACTTCTCGTTTCTGTTTTTCATTATACACAATACAACCTTCTTGATTTTTGTATACATTTGATGAATTTTCTTTGAATTTTCTTTTGGTTAGTTTTAATGGCTTGTGCCAAGTTGCCACTTTGATCTATTTCAGATGGTGTATGAATATTATATAATGATTCCTGGTTTAATTGATCAATTTCAGTTTTTAATTTAGATATATTTTCTTTTACCGTTTTAGTTTTAACTTTAATCTGCTTTAAATGAATATATTGTTTGATTAATGATTCATATTTAATATTATTTGCTTTATTTAATTCTCTACATTTACATTTGAAAATACGTTTTAACCTAATTTTTAATGTTTCCCATAATTTGATGTCAGAGTTTGTTAAACATCTCAATTGTATTATTTTTTGTATTTCCAGTTTTAGTTCTTTTGAAACACAAGTATTTTTTAGCTAAATGGACTATTCGACTTCAGCCTTGGCCTTTGCTCAGGCTTTTCCTCCGGTCTTGCCTCTTCCAGATATTTTCAGTTTAGGTTCGCACAAAATAATAGTTCTCTAGCAACAAGAGGTGCCTTATCAGTGGCGTAACAAGGTTGTGATTGGCCCCGGTGCAAATATTGTTTTGGGGCCCCCTCCCCCCATCGCCCCAAACATAAGCGCACGCTGATGCGCTCACACACGCACGGACATAGAGAGGCGAAGTCCCGCCCATCTACTTCCGACCCATGGGACCTTATTTTGGAAAAAATATGTATTGAAGTCAAACGGGATCGAAAGATAATCTTTCTCTCCCCATTGACTTCAATACATACTTTTTCCGAAATAAGGTCCCATGGAGCTCCCCCGGAAAGGGAGGGACTTCGCCTCTCTATACACAACCACTCAGAAGCGCCACATGTATAGGCTGACAACAGCCTACCCTGGCCTCAGACCACCACAGCCTGACAACAGCACAGTGAACTAAGAAGAGGATTAAACCTGTTTCCTTGATGTTTGTCTCTGGGGAATGGGCCGGTAGGCCTACATAGACCGGTTGCTATAATATAGCTTTTGATCTTGGCGTCGGGGGTCTCAATAGCTCCATAGAGTCCCCTATCGGTTGGGGCCCTTGGGGGAATTGTTGGACCACCGCCGGGCACAGCCAAATCCAGCCTCTCCTCCTGGCTGGCTGGAGAAGAAGGTTGCACATGCAGCCACAGCCACGGCACGGATACAGCTTCACTTGTGGAGCTAGATGGCAATGATGGTGGTGAGGCAGGTGAGCTATCGATAGCCTCCGGCTCCGGCTGCCGCTGCACGTCAACAATAGCCGCGTTCACACCAAGTACTTTGCCGTACTCAGTGCCGGCACTCAGTGCCCCGGCACTTATTACCCCGCGTTCACACCGGAATAAATTCCCTGAGGGAAGATTACGCAAATGAGCCGCTGACGTCACTTCGTCTTCTTCTGCTTTGGGTTTACTGGCAGGCCGCAAACAACTTCACGGCGTATACTGCCACCCGGAGTCCCCGAAGTTGGGGACTGGCTTCAGTAGAAGCTGCTGGGACTCCCAGCAGCTTCTACTGAAGCCTTCAGAGTAAATCGCCAGAACGCCGACACCTCCTCATCTCCACCGCTCCCATGTTTTATTTTGTGTTGCCATAAATTAGTCTCTCTGTGTTTGTGCGCTGGGCGAATGCTAATGCTAATAATGCTAAAGCGAGGATAATAAAATGGCGGCTCTACAAAACATTTCAAAGTTTTACGGGGCGTGGTTTGCAATTCGCCCAGCCAATCAGAACTGGGGCACTTTTTTCCCCCAGGAAAGTACCATCTCTCAGCAGGCACTAAAAATGGGGGTAAAAGTTCCCGGGATTAAGTGCTCTTTTTGGTGTGAACGCGACATAAGGGGAACTAACGGAACTAAACGCGAAAAGTACGGTGAAAAGTACTCCGGTGTGAACGCGCCTATTGCTAACGTTAGCGCTCGATTTCGAGGACGATGTATGACCAAAAAAACGGTCTAAATTTGTCCGTTTAGCTGTTACATCTCCTTGTTTAGCTGTTACATCTCCTTGTTCTCTGGATGTTTTATTTCTAGTCTTTTAATTTCTCTTATGTACAATGCGATACGATACGATATTACTTTATTTGTCAGATCAAGACTGAAATTTGACTTGCGTCACAGCAGCTCCATGTCCAACATCAACAGACAAATATCCAGACAAAAATACATGAAACACAAACAACAAACATTTAACATAACAGCACAATCAGTGAGAGAAAAGCTGCTCAAAGAGCCTTCAGCGTGCATTTGATCTGGGATGTAGCTCTGTATTTACTGTGAGGATTGACTGATGCACAAAGGAGTGCTTCAGTCTGACTTTATTGAATCGTGGGACCCTGTATCTCCGATTAGATGGTAGCAGTTCATATTCACTGTTCAGAACATGGTTTGGGTCAGAGATTGTTGTTGGACAGCCTCACTAGGTTGTTATGATAGGCTGATGATATACATGTAAGGGATAATGTTTTAGAGAATATGTAAGTAGATGTCTTTATAACAATATAATAAAAATGTATTGTACTAAGAGGAAATAGATGAATGTAGTATATCAGGTAACATGTTAGTCATGTTTCATACAAGTCATCTTTATATCAGTTAATTAACTTCTTGTAAAACAAGGTACTCTGGTGTTGCAAAATATAAACATGTCATATTAAAACAGGAGAAGTGCTCTTTTGGTGTATGTGGGTGGCTCTTAAAAGAGCCTTTTGTAGATGAAGTAGATGATCTGTTTACTTCTTCGCTGCTTTCCTGGCTGGTGCCTTCTTCGCTGCTTTGGCAGCTGGTTTAACCACCTTCTTCACAGCTTTCTTGGGGGTTGCGGTCTTCTTGGGGGTCGCTGCCTTCTTGGGTGCTGCCTTCTTGGCCGCCACCTTCTTCTTCGGGCTCTTAGTGATCTTCACGGGGGTTTTCTTGGCAGGAGTAGCAGGCTTCTTCGCCCTCTTGGGTGTTACTGCCTTCTTGGCGGCTGGCTTCTTAGCGGCGGGTTTCTTCGCTGCTGCTGCCGGCTTCTTGGCTTTGACTGCGGGCTTCTTCGCTACCTTCTTGGGCTTCTCGGCGGGCTTGGCTGCCTTGAAGGAGCCGCTAGCTCCGGATCCCTTGACCTGCACCAGGGCTCCATTCTCCACCAACTTCTTCACGGCGCGTTTCACCTGGTTGGCGTTGTCGATGCCTTTAACGGCCAGCTCCTTCTTCAGGGCGAC